GGTGAAGAAGAGGAGGAGGGAGAAGAGGAGGTGGAGGAAAAGGAGGAAGAAGAGGAGGAGGAAGGAGAAGAAAAGGACAAAGGGCAAAAGGCACATACACTATATCTTCCCTAGAATTTGTACTCAGTAGATATCTGTTCCCATCTCCTTGGCCAGAACTGGGTAGTAGGGACACCCCTAGCTGCAAAGGAGTCTGGAAAATCAGTAGTTTAAACTGAACACAGTGCAGCTCAGTTAGAAAAAAGTTCTGATAGAAAGGAAAAAGAAGAGACTGGACCAGGTCTAGGGAGCCAGCAGTGTCTGCCCTCCTACCCAGTCCTCACAGCTCACACAGAGTCAGAGAAGGCCTGCTCTTCAACCCCCCGTGTCAGCGTCGGGGTCACATGTTCTTCCTCTGCAGGCAGTCTGGCCTAGGAGCCGCGTGAGGCTCACTACCCATCCCTCCTCTGCCCGGGGCCTCCATAGCACCTGCTCCTTTAACCCTTCATCCTGGGAAGAGAGAACAAAGCAAATGCACTTCACAGGCGTGGTCTAGGCCCAGGGTACCCAGTTCTAAAGACCCTCTGGTTAAGCTGAGGGGTTGCTGGCTGGAGAGAGAGCAAGGAAGAAAGTGTGCAAAACGAGTCTGGAGAGGTTGTCTGGGGCAAGATCATGCAGGGTCTTGTAAGCTACAACTCACTTGAACTCAACCAGTTACAAGTGGCTCACCAGGCAAAACACTGTGGTCTATAAATGGAGTAAGATGCCAAGCTGACTCCAAGGAGATCCCGTTCTATTAGGGCAGACACACATGCAATTAAACATAGTAAAATTCAGACCACGCTATGTTCAGGTATAGATGTAGAGACACAGTGCTGTTCATGACAGCGTGAACAAGACAGCTTTAATTTCAATAAGGTAATACCTGAATTTAGCTTTGCAGGGTAGGTAGGATCCTTATAAGCAGAGAAGGAAAGCAGAGGATGTTTTAAGCAAAGAAAACTATACGAGCAAAGATTTGAGGGCAGGAAGGCAGGCAGTGTATTTGGATAATTGTGGGTGGCCCTCTTGGGCTGCAGGACAGCATTTACAAGGATTGGGGTGATGGGGCTGGTGAGATGGGGAAGGCAGGGCAGAGAGTGGGTCAGGAGAGGAAGCAGAAAAGGTAGGTCGGTGTCAGGTTGTAAAGACTGAATGTCATATTAAGAAGTCGGACTGTAACTTGTGGAAAATAGGGAGCTGTTGAAGGTTTGAATCCCATCTGTGTTGTGGAAAATAACTCTACCCAACAAGAGTTGATAGCATGGGGGTGGGGAGACTGAGGCAGAGTCCCCAGCGGGAGGCTGGTACCATAGAGGCCTGACCTAGAACAGAAGCAGTGCGAGGAGAGGAGTTAAAATGGCACACGCTTTTCTGGGTGAGTAACTGGGTTGGAGAAGTGCCATTTACAAATTCAAGGAAGACATGGGAGGGAAGCAGCTTTGGAGGGTCAGACGGTGGATTCAGCCTGAGCAGTGCTGAGTCCCTGGGGATTACGTCTGTCCAGGTCTCTGGGGTGAGGACCAGGCTGGAGATTGTGGGGTCATGAGACCTAAGTGGGTGGTAAAACCACAATTATGGATTGGATTGTCCAGAAACTATGTAAAGCAACAAAGGGCCAGCATAAGCTGCTTGAGGGAAAAGCTGGAGGAGGTTGAGAAAGAAAGGTCAGGGATGGAGGAAGGGATCAGGATCCAGGAGTTCTTGGAAGTGAGCAGAGCTCTTTCAGCCATGGAGTTAGGAAACAGTTCTGTCCTAGGGTTTGGGGGCTTAGCATTTGGCTGGGGGTGGGGTGGGGAGAACGCACATACAAACCTGTACAAAACAAAGTGAGTGTGAACAGATCCAGAGTAGCAGTTGGTCAGCAGGATCTGCTGTGGTTCTGCAGTCTGCACCCCAGGATGAAACGGCACCCCAAACGCTTCCTGTGTCCACCTTGGAGGGTTACCTGCTAGAAGGGGCAGGGGTTTGCCCCGAGACTCCTGTTCTGGCCCCTTCAACTTTCCCTGTGGGCCCTCCGCTCCCTGTCTGTGGCTGTGTGACCCAGGCGCTGACATGTGGAAGGGCTATTCTCACCAGGGTACAAGGGCACCGGGGGAAGTGCTGTCCCGATGGGGATTTAGCTGCGTGTTGTAAGTTACTCAGCTCAGCGCAAGCTTTAAAGCACGGAGCAGTCTCTTACACTCCCAGCGGTTATGCTGTTCTCCCCAGCCCTTGGTCTTCCCACGGCTCCAATTCTGGGGCAGTGAGGAGTGTTTTAGAAACAGTTCCTGTCTTTTCCTGCCCTACTTCCACCATGGCTGTGCACCCCGACCCAGCTCTCTCTGCTCCTCGGGCCTCTAGGGAAGCAGGGTTCTCTTCAGTTGGGATCCAGGCTCATTTCTCAGCTTCATGTTAGCGCTGCTTTCCCCACAGCCCTTGAACCCTGACTTCACAGTCCCCCAGGAATATCCTGAGCCAGCCACTCCCCAATTCTTGCCTGCAACAGTTTTCTTGATGTCCTTCAAGTTTTCTTGATGGGCCCGTTGTCCTGAGGATAAAAGCTGGATTTACCCAGGAACTACCAAGCCTGCCTGGGGTGGCATTTACTTCCTTCTCCAGCCTGTCTCCTCTGCTCAAGAGCCACAATGGCTCCTATCATGCCATGATCCTTCTGCCTCAGGGCCTTTGCACATGCTCCTTCTGTTCCTATGTCAAAATCATTTCCCAACCCTGCCTGTCACTCCAATTCCTGCCTCCTTCACCTCATCTCCTTAACACCTCCTGACTCTTCAGCTCACTTCTCAAATGCTACATCCTCAGGGCTCTGAACCATGTTTTAATTACACACTTATTTATGGGAAGGACTATTTGAAAAACATCTATCTTGCCCATTAGCTATAAGGGACCATGTCTTTCCTTTCACCATCGCATCTTGGAGGTTGGCCTAGGGCTCCGTGCAGAGTAGCTCCTCACACTAATAAATGTGTTGAAAGAATAGAGCAGCTGGTGACCTTTTTTCACACATTTCATAGTGGCTAGATGTGTTTCTTCTCACCCTAGAAGGGAGACATGACTTCCCCTAGATCAAGCACGTGTGTGACTTCATAGCTGCATCATCCCCAACTCCTTCAGCAGTGCCCTGGATGGACTGTGGAGAAACACCATTTGAGAGGGAAGCCACGGCCCTTCCTCATGTGGATGTAGCTCCTGGGATCCCTCTGTAGCCTTTAGCTGGTCAGCAGCATCAGGAAGTAATTTGGCCAAACACCTCGGAATTCTCTGGCAGGAAAGGGGCTGGAACGAACAGGTGGCTGGGCTTTGGAGTTCTGACCCCTGGCCTTTCCTTTCCTAAACAGGCGCGCAGAGCCTGGGTCTGACGGTCCTAAGGGTAAGGACTCCAGACAGCAACAAGGAGAGGTGGCCGCAAAGCAGCGTTGCAGGGCATCCGGGAGGGATCCATCTACTTGCCCAAGGACACGGGCCTAGCAGGGGGTGTGGTTCCCTCTCTCTCACCCAGAGCAAAAGAAGAGGAGAAGGACAATTGTAACCTAGTCCTCATTTGTAGAGGAAAAGACGGGGACAGAAAGGTCACTCAGTCTGTGTAAAGTCATATGGTCTGCAAGCTTTGAGCCAGACTGGTGAAAGAGCGTTACCTTTCACAGGCACCCAAGCAACTTTGGGAAAGGGCCAGTCCATTCTGTCCAGGTCCCACTCAAGGGTCAGAGCTGTCCTCCCCATGGTCTCCCCAACAGGGGCTCCCCCACTCTTTCCAGGTAGCCATTTATAGCTCCCAAATCTGTGCAAAGCCTTCTTGAATCCATGTATATTTCCTGCCTCGGGGTTTTGAGAGCCGACCAGTTATTAAAATAATTACGTCATCTAGGGTTAGAGCTGGAGGGGGCCTCAGAATCATCTAGTCTGCCTCCTCACTTCACAAATGAGAAAACTGAGGCCCAGACGTGGGGGTGTTGGAGGTAGGGCTGAGTCTCTTCCTAGCAGCACCCATCACCCCAGGGTTTGGTGTCTGGAAGGAAGTCCCTGCGGCCCTGCCCAGGCGTGGACAATCACAGCCTCTCTCAGGAACAACCCCCATCCTGCTCAGGCTGGGCAGCTGCATGGCAGGCAGCATGGCTTCCTGGCTACCTATCAAGTGGCCAGCCCTTGCTGTGTTTCTGTGGTTTCTGCCAGTGCCTGGCCTTGGTCCCTTCCTATAAGCCCTGCTCCCATCATAGTGACAGCCAGTTTGCTGAGCACTCCTTCTGAGAGGTCAGTGTTCTCACAGCCATTTCCAAACCGAGGAAACAAGCTCAAGAGCTTCCTTCAGTGATGTGCTCAAGCTCACATCACACATAGAGTTGCAGAGCAAGGATTTAAATCTTCAAATTCAGTTTGTCGTCTTGAACGGGGATCCTGAGGAGTGGGCTGGGGAGGGGACGGTACTGTGACCTGGCAGGGCCAAGATGAGGGGCCTTGAAAAGGGAGTTCTGGGCAGCCAATCTGCGGTTCGGGGGAGCGCCCCGCCCCTAGCACCCCACCTGGCTCTGGCTGAAAATGACAACTACAACCAGAGCCGCTGGTGCGCCTACGGCACAGCCATTCATGCTTTCGGTGCACATTCCCCTTAACTGCCTCAAGGCTCCCAATTAACGTGGGTTGCTGTGTCTGGTGCTGGGTTATTTTCCCGTTCCCTTCAGTTTGCTATTTCAGAGAGACACTAGCTCTGTCACTGTGTTTGTGTCGCTCCCTTCTCACCCTCACCAGAGGAAAACCAAAAAGCAACAGCTGGTGGCGAATCGGCGCTGGCGCTGGCCCGCCCCCTCGGCGGCAGGCTCCTGTTGCTTCTCCGAGCTGGCCCGCCCTTTGCAAGAAGCCCTCCCGCACCGCGGAGGACGGCGGCGCGCTCGGGGCGGGAGCGCAGCGCAGGGCGAGGAGGAGAGGGGTCTGCGCGCCCCCGCTACCCAGAAGCCATCGGACGGTGACACCGCTCGGCGGTCCCCGGAGCCCAGCCCCGGCCGATCCCCGCCCACCGCTCCCCACCCTCTGCAGGACGCGCCCCTCCAGCCCGCCCCAGCCCTTCGCAGGAGGGGAGGCGGGAAAAGAGCGAAAGCCTCTCCCACCGCCCTGCCCCCAGCCCCGCCACTCCCAGGCTGCTTCGGACTCGGCTCGTCCTCCTGGGATTGTCTCGGGGGGAACCGCGCGCTGCAGGTAAGCGGCTGCAGAGGGGCAAAGTTGGGTTCTTCTTCCGAGGAGGGAGAGAGGCTGGGTGGGGACGGCTCGCGGGGCGCCGGGGAGCTGCCGGGTTTTGTTTGTTTCGGTGGGTGTGAGCGGTTCTCCCCGGGCAGCTGCCGCCTGGGCAGCGGAAACCCGGCTGGAGATGTAAACGAGGAGATGTCGTCGGAAGAGAAGAGGGGCCTCCGAGGGGAGGCAGGCCACGGCGGTGGGGTGGTGGCTGGAAATGCGCTTGTTGCTGCCTGGAGCCTGGGGCTGTGGTTTTTGGGAGAAGGGGAAAGGGCTGCTCCCACCCTGTATCCAGGGGGAGCTTTCCCTTTGTTACTGGGAACCTGTGGACACTTGAGTGGAGCGTGGGGATGTGAGTGTGGACATATGAGCAATACAGAATGGAACTTGCTGGTTTGGTGCTTGGGGGGCAGAAGGGGCTGTGGCTGGGCAGTGGGCAAGGGCTGGGGGGAAGGTAAAGAAGGATTGAGGTTCCAGGGCTTGGCGTTCATGAGAATGTCTGCATCAGTTTTTTCCCCTTCTTGTCTATCCAGTCCTGTTTTCTTCCAGGGGGCCCTGACCCTCCCATTCCCTCCTTTCCTCCTGCCCAGCCCCCTTTCCCCTGGCAGAGCCTCCCCCATTGTGTCTCCTTGTCTTCCGTGGAGAGTTGGAAGAGCGGCCTGGGGCTCCTGGCGCTTGCTTCTGGCTCTTACAAGTGGTGGCTGGTAGAAAAAGCACCCAAGGGTGGGAGCAGGGAGCAGCCGTGCTGGAGAAATGGGCCTGCCCAGGCCCCTGCTGCCGTCCTCCAGGGGCAGGAGCTGTGGCTGCTGAGGCTTCTCCCCACCAATGAATGTGGCCTCTGTTTCCACTTCCTTTGTCTCCTTGGCGTCGTGCTCTTTGGCTGGGCCCGGATTTCCAGGTTTGGAGATGGATCCGTGGGCAGCCCGTGTCCTCTCTGAAGGGACCTTACTCTGGGTCCCTCATATTGTGTGTGTGTGTGGATGTGTATATCTGTTTCCGCAACTTAGCCTTTTGCATGTGACCTGCCTGGTAGTTGCCATGGAAACTCCTCTTCAATTCTCAGCCTCCCTCCTTTTCCTGCCCATTCCTCACCTCCATATCTCCTCCCCTCCCCCCAACATGGTTGCCTAGATACTAGTTATCTCTGGCTTCCCTGGGTAGGAGATCCTGCATAGCTAGCTTCCACCCCAACTGATGTGGCTTCTTACCCACTCAAGTCCCCCTGCACACACACTATACACCCAAACACATATACATACATGCCACACTACACACTCACACATACCATACATCCTACTCAACACACACAGTCCGTAAAGGCATCACACACACGTATATATTGTACTACATATACACCACATACACACCGAATACACTGTACATGTGCTGCACTGCAACACACCACCCACAATGCTGCACATACATCCTACCATTGCACTGTGTATGCTCTCACATACACCAACAATAACACATACCATTGCTTCCCCCACTACACACACACACAGTACTTCTTCTAAATAGGTCTCAAGCTGGAAGAGAGAGCAGTTTCCTGTCCCATCTAGCTCTATGCTGAGGGGTGTGCAGGGGAAGGCTCAGGAAGACCAGAAGGAAACATCTCCCAAGAACCCTGCTGAGGAAGATAGAAAGAAATGCACTTCCAGATTCCCTCAGAGGAGCCCCTCTCCTAGGTGCCGGACTCCAGAGGCTGGGCACGCACCAGAATTTAAATCTCTCCACGTCTGCTTTCTCCCTGCCCTGACCCTGAGGAAGCCTGAGGCTCCTGGCCCATTCTCGGAGCCTCCACTCACCCCTGAGTCTTCCTGCTAACAGAGGATCAAGCAGCTCCTGGACCAGCAGGCTCTGAGCTTCCACAAAGGAGGGAGGAAAGGTTGTGACTGTGCAAGGAGACCAAAAGGGGGCCAGGAGGGCAGGGAAAGGACACAAAGGGGGATGAGGGCCGGGAAGGGAGGGAAGCCAGAAAGAGCGGGAAGGAGAGGCCAGGTGAGTTAAGAAAGTGCAAGTAGTGGGGTCTGCTCCCATCCAGGTCCAGGCCACCCTCTCTCCTCCAGGCAACTTTTCCTCCACCTACGTGGCTCCTCCACCACATCTGTGCATCTAGGAGAGGGAGTGGGTTTGTGAAGGGATCCTGGATTGCCAGAGCTTTTCCAAGACCTGCGGCTTCCACGGTGGTCAAGTGGTAGACACCTGAGGGAAGAGTGTCTGTCCTGGCCTCCATGTGATCTCTGGACTGGCTGAGGGCCCATGTCACTCAATTATGCAAGGAAGTGTCTTAACTACCTACTATGCATTAATTGCCGGGGACCTGAGGGTGAGGAGGAAGACGCAGTCCCAGACCTTAGAATCCTAGATTTCTCAGAGCCAGAAGGGACCTTGAGGGAACATCCAATCAGGATGTAGCATAGATGGGGAAACTGAGGCTCAGAGGTCACACACCCAGCAGTGGCTGAGGCCTTCTGACTCTTCAGCCAGGATTTGTGGCTCCACACTCCCTGTCCCCTATCTCTTGCCTTCTTTTCTGTATTACCAGCAATCCTCTGGGAACTGGGATATCCCTTCCAATGTGTGGGTCCTCTGGTGGGTGGGGAGCCTGCTCCATTATGTTTTCTTGGAGGGTGTGGCAAGGAGGATGTGGGGAGCAGGAGCAGTTCCCTAGACCCTGGAAACTGCCCACAGCCTTAGGCGAGCCAGCCCACCTAGATCCCCCATAAATCAGAGCACACGCTCCCCTGCCCCCCAGCCCTGTTGGACTTAGCTGGCTGCCATCTGGATGGCAGACTGTGCCAGGCAGCCCCCAGGACTCACTGTCTAACAAATCACCCACCAGCTTCCACCCGAGTGCCCTGGAGGAAGCAAACCAGTCCTGACAGGCACAGCCCCTGGAGGCAGAGAGCCTGTAGCATAAAGGCTGTGAACCTGGAGGGCAGACCCAGGTTCTAGTCCTGGCTCTGTCCCAAGGGCAAGTGCATTCATTCCACAGATGTCCTTTTGGATGCCAACCGGGCTTCTGGTGAAAGCCAGAAATAGCTTAGACTGAGCTCAAGCAACTGAAAGCTTCCAAGATTTTAGCGTCTGCCTATTCCCACATCTGTCAGTATTGCTTTGTTTTTAGGGGGGGTAGATTCCATGATTTCTGAGGCATTTCTTCCTCTGAAGTTTTGTGGATTATACAGTGCCAAATTGTACTCATTATTTCATAATACAGAGTTGCAGCTGAGCTGAGCAGGAGAGGGACTGGGTTCTCGTGACTCTGGAGAAAGCCTCCCCTTTCAGTCAGTGCGACAGGAGGGGCCCAAGAATCTGAGACCAGGTTTTCTTCCCTCGGGCTGCAGGAGCCGGCCCCTCCTGGATGCCGTGGTCTACCTGGTCTGTTCTGCCAGGATGAAAACTGGGGCTGGGTAGAGTCTTGTTAAGAGGTGTCTTCTGGAGAGGACGAGACTCAGAGCCATCATTTGGTGGTCTATGAAATTCTCCAGAGGGAGGGCCTTTGGCCAGCTGCAGAGAGTGAGAGAAGGTGCTGGTCGGGGCTCTCTGTCCCTGATGAGAAATAGAATATCTCTGGCTGAGACAAAAGCTTGGAACCAATCTGTCAGCATCCTCTCTGCTCTGGAATAGGAGGGAGGAGGGGACACTCTGACCTGGGAAAGTATGAAGCAGGCTTGGAGCCCAAACAGGAACACGTTTGTTACAAAGATGTGCGAGGGGGCACGAAGCCCAGGAGGAGGGCTGGAGCCCTGGGATGCATGCTGGGGCCGTGGGAATGGGGCTGCTCCAGCTCAGAATATCTGATTTGGGGGGTGGCGGGGGCCAGGGATGAGGGAGGATCTAGTTGGAAGGACAGTGACCCCCACACAGCTGGAGGGCAAAGCTAGACCTTGGAAGAGACCAGGCCAAGGTCTCAAATTCATTCATATTTTTTGTTTTATTTATTTATTTATTTATTTTTTGTTGAGGAAGATTGGCCCTGAGCTAACATCTGTGCCCATCTTCCTCTACTTTATATGTTGGATACCTGCCACAGCATGGCTTGATAAGCAGTGCATAGGTCCGAGCCTGGGATCTGAACCCGCAAATCCCGGCCTGCCGAAGTGGAGCGCACGAACTTAACCACTACGCCTTTTAACAAATGTTAACTGAGTCCCTCCGATATGCCAGGCTCTGGGCTTCTCAGGGCCCACAGAGCTGTGAAATGATGGTTTCTCATTCACCAGAGCCCGCCTGCTCAGCTAGACCAATTGATTTCTCCTGTCCCTTCCTCTCTCCTGCTGCTTACCTCCCCCCCACCTCCCACCAGGAAGGCTCTGCAACGTTCCTCTTCAGCAGAAAGGACCCCTACACTCACTCACATGGGCACTCACACACTTTCCCCTTCTCACACATACATAATCTTCCACACCTAACACAGAGGCACGTGCTCACAGTTTCCCACACACCCTCTCACCTCGCCAGCTGCAGTCTCTCACCCAGGCCATTGTGATGGCCTCTTCCCTTCCACTCTCTCAGCCCCGATCTGTTTTACCACTGCTCCTGCAGATCAGGTCCAGTTATGTCAGACCTCCCTGGGCTGTCCATTGCCTGTTTACAAGGACGGGTGCCTGGCGCTGGCACTCAAGGCTCTCGTAACCTGGCTGCAGCTGCTCTCCAGCACCTTCTCCTGATGGTCATCCCAAGCCTTGTATTTCCTCCTCTCTGCCTCTGCTCAGGCCCTACCTGGAACGAGCTGAGGAGGAGGTGGCGGCATTTGGAGATGTGCAAACTCAGGTTATAATCTAGGTTCTGACGCTTCCTAGTTTTCTTGACTTCTCTGAGCCTCAGTTTCCTTATCTGTCAAATAGACGTGAGGATTGAGCGGGGGAAGCTAGCTATGTAAAGTGCTTCTTGTGGTGCCTAGCGCATAGTAAACACTCAGTAGATATTAGCTGCTGTAATAATAATAATAATAATGATAG